ACATTCTCTGCCTCAGCCACCTTCTCCAACCCACAACCCTTCGCCGACCTACTCTCTTCTTCTCTCCTTCTCTTCCTCCCTCTACCCCTATCTTCGTCAACAACCCAACATTCATGAGGCTCTTGATTGTTAAACCCAAAATTGCGATTCGACCGTTCACTCTTTCGCTATACAAACTGAATCCAAAATACACCTTCAACTACTCGACGCTGGCTCCTTAAGTGGCACCGGTGGAAGATGGAAATTGGACCTGGACTCGCTTTTCGACTTCATGGTCTTCTAGGGCTCCACTTTCTTGCCGGTTACGCTTTGGTAACGGTGTCGGACTTGGCTCAGAAGAGTTCTCCGAGGGGGTGTTTCCGAGTCGGTGGCTCGGATGGTGAAGGAAAAGAGGGGTTTGGGAGTGTGTGGTTTGGTTAATGAGGATGCAAGAGGGAATGGGTTCAAGAGTTGCAGAGATTCAACTGTTGACGAAGTGGGTTTTTTGTGTATATTATGATGGGATTGGATGCTACAAGAATGGATTTTTATTTGTCTTTCTGGGTTGGATTTGGTTGACTTATGTAATCATTTGTATGGACAGAAGAAGTAAAGGCTTCAACCAACCTCAGTCATTGGGTATGGAAATTTCATTTGTAGAGCATGTTTGATATGCTTCTAGCGGCTAGATCAATTTTGTGGGTGTGTGATCACTACTACAAAAAATGAAATAGACGATGGGGATCTACCGTCGTTGTAATGCTTTGAAAACCGTCGTTAAATCGACCGCCATCTTTTTGGGTGTCAAACTACGACAGCTTTTCACCGTCGTTGTTTATCTGTAAAGACGACGGTTTTTAAAGAAAATCGTCGTTGTTTAGAGGTAAAGATCGTTAATTATAGGAGGAATGACGATGGTTTTATTAAAACCATCGTGGATTGTAGGTTAAGATGACGGTTTTTTATGAAAACCGTCGTGGATTGTAGGTTAAGACGACAGTTGTTTTATAAAAACCGTCGTTAATTATCTATAAAGCCAACGGTTGGTTTATAAAAACCATCGTTAATTATCTGTAAAGACCATGATTTATTATGAAAACCGTCGTCTAATAAATTCCCAAACTGCTACATTTTAGTTCTTTTTTATTTCATATGATGCTATACAACGATTTTAACTGGAAAACCAACCATAATGCTTTATTAATGAATATATACACTCAAAAATAGTTACTTTCATAAAAATTGAAGATTCAATAGTTATTACATAGTTAACCAATCTTTATTCTACAACAAACATAATTCCTACCAATTAAATATAAATATTCAATTGATACATATGGTAATTAAGTAGTACAATCTTTTCCTAATAGGACCTACGTACTCCTAATCGAAGCCTTCCTCATCCAAACATACAAATGATGCACAACTGAAGTCTCCTCCATCATTCCTGTAAATAAATCAAAATGACAGAGAGAGAAAAAAACCTAAGATTATAAACATATAAAATTAGGTGGAAGAGAAATTTTACCATTGGACCATATTTCCATAGAAAACTTGTAAAATGAGCATAAAAAATACCATCGAGAACCTGCAAAAGGAAAAATATATAAATAAAATGATGGTGAAAAGAGAAGGTAACAAATTTTCAACAACAAAAAAGCATACGACTCACATAGAAAACCTGCAAAAGAAAAAGTTATAAATCTGAAAGCTTCCTCCTCATCTCCTGAGAACCAAATCAGAAAATCTAAAAAGAAACCAGAAATAAAAAAAATATGTAAACAAACCAGACAAATTAAGAGAGACAGAAAATATGAAATCAGGGAGACAAAGAACATACCAGAAACGCAAAGAGACTAATCCAAAATTCACTAGCAAGATATAGAAGGGTATTGAGAGATTAGGTGACTTTCAAATCAAACCTTTCATGAGGGTGTTTTAGAGAGCTCAGGAGGGTTTCAAGGAGGAAGAGATAAGGTTTTCAGAGACGGGGGAAAATCTGAAAGTCGAGCGCGAATTCACTTAAGCGGCCTTTCTTTAGCGTGTTTTAAAAGACGACGCTTATTAATGAGAGATAAGGTTTTCAAAGACGGGGGAAAATTTGAAAATTTGTCGAGCGCGAATTCACTTAAGCGGCCTTTTTTTAACGTGTTTTAAACGACGACGCTTTTTAAAAAAAAACTGTCTTCTTTACATATAATAAAAAACCGTCATCTTTACATATAATAGACGACAGTTCTTTCAAAAAAACCGTCGTCTTTACAAAGAAAAGGCCACTTGATTTTTAAAAGACAACGCTTGTCACTAACAAGCGTCGTCTTTTAAAAATCAAGTGACCTTTTTTTTGTTCAGCGTATTTTAAAAGACGACGCTTGTAACAAGCGTCGTCTTTTAAAAATCAATCTAACGATAGTAGTATATAAGATGATATATCATGACGGTTTTAAAAACACCGTCGTCTTTTAAAACATAACGAAGGTTTTAAGATGCACCGTCGTCTACTTTGTGTCGTGGTTTAACTATTTTGTAGTAGTGGATTAGATCAGTTCTATAGTGGTTGTAAAGGTTTCCTTTCTTTTTCTTGTGGGAAATTTTGAGTGAATGACTTGGGTATGTATGTTTGTTGCCTGTATTCCGTTTTATGTTTTAGGGTTTAATTAGATCTTCATTCTTGACTGTCGATGAAGAGAGAGGGAGAGGGACAAAGAGAAGGAGAGAAGAAGAGAAGGAGAGAAGGAGAGAGTGGGTTGGGGAAGAGCGGATCTGTGGGGGTTGGGTCAAGGTCAAGAAGGGACTGTTGGGGTAGGTCGGAGAACGTGGCTGGGGGAGAGAGTTGGTTTTTTTTTGGGTTTGTTTTAGTTATGTTTCAAAAATATTAGTTTTTAAAAAGAAGAATATTAATGTTTTATTATTTTAAGGATTTTTTAATAATTTTTATTGACACATCTGTACAACAGTGGATCCCTCACTTGCCACATCATCCATTTAATAGAAGACTAGATGGTCAAAGTAACAGAATGTGTAAATTGATTGAATCTTAAAACATTGAGGTGTAAATTGATGAAATTGAAACCCTAAAGTCAAATTGAGAATGACCCAAAACTTGAAGGTGGTGTTTTGACGTTAGCCCTAAAATATTTAATTCTAATTATTCACTAAAGAAATAATAATTAAAATGTAATTACTAATGAAAGTCTTTAAATAAGGCTAAGATATTATTTAATTAATAAAAAAGAAAATTCTACAGAAATAAAATATTTTAAAAGTATAGCCGTGCGGCTAAGCGTAAAATAGAATATTTTAAAAGTATAGCCGCGCGGCTATACCGTTTAAGTAGCATAATATGAATTTCTCTTTTTTAATTACTTTAATTAGTAGTTATGTTTTAGTGATTATTTACTTAGTGAATTATTAGTATTTAAATATTTTATTAAAGAAAAAATAGAAAAATTTAATTACTATTGATTAAGTAAAATAATTCATGAAGTTAATTAAAATATTTAATACTAATTATTCACTAAAGAAATAATAATTAAAATATTATTACCAATTTAACTAATTAAATAAGGCTAAGAGCATATTTAATTACTAAAAATAAAATTGAAAAAAATTAATTAACTTATAAAATTGAATTGAAACACAGGAAAAGATGATACAATACAGAGCTAAACAGAACGTACTAGCTAGAATGGCAGCTATCAGGTTTCAAATCTATATCCTGGCTTTCTGCGCAGGCCTTGTTATTCAAAGCAGCTACTGCAATGGCCATTCTGGGCTTCAGAAAAAACGTGCAGCCCTGTTCGTCTTTGGTGATTCACCATATGACGCCGGAAATAATAACTACATAAACACTACCACTGAATTCCAGGCAAATTGGTTGCCATATGGTGAAACATTCTTCAGGTACGCAACTGGTAGATTTTCTGATGGGCGTACAATCCCAGATGTCATTGGTAAGAATAATGCAGGGAGTACTGTTGTTATTTTCCACATCACACTTGTTTCAGTCATTTCCTGAAAGTTGAAACACCTTAATTTGGTGCAGCTGAATATGCTCACACTTTTGTTTTCTCAATAATTTGATGGGTTTTTATGTTTTATGATTCATGTTCTTTTGTTATTTTAGTTTAATAGAATTACCATAATTAACCCAAAAACAAAATACATACATGTGCATAATTTTTTTTTCTTGTTAAATTATGATAAAAGGGTCTCAATTTAATGGGTAAATTACTCAAATGGTCCTCAAATTTGTACTCAATTTACATTTTGGTCTATAAACTAAATTATTCGTTCAAATGGTCCACCAACTCTTTAATAATTGGCGCTTTGGTCATATCGTTACATTTTCTGTTAAACTTAGTCATGTGAGCAGCACATGCTACATTTGTGGGGGTAAACAAGACTTTTGACCTATGTATCACCTATTTATCACCACTGTATCACCTATGTATCACCACTGTATCACCTATGTATCACCACTTTATCACTTATTTGGGGAACATAGGACGGTTATGGACGGTTTTACCCTTACATTTGACGGCAATATTAACATAATTTAACAGTAGAATCAATGGAGCGATTAATATAGAGTTGATGGACCATTTGAATGAATAATTTAATTGAATGACCAAAATGTAAATCGGGTATAAATTTGAGGACCATTTGAGTAATTTACCCCAATTTAATTTATGCCCCTAGGCCACTCAAAAGTCAGGGCTGGCCCTGAAAGCCTTCAATTTGGTGTAATTACATGTGCTGCTGTGCATGCTATATACATGGTGAATAAGCAAATTACTTTTACTTTTGGCTTGAATATTCGTCCTTCACTATTGTTTTCAATCACTTTACGTATGTGGTTAGCGCAGCAACTTTGTTTTCAATCACTTTACGTATGTGGTTAGCGCAGCAACTTTATTGTACTGCACAATTTTCCGATGGTTTCTTTTTCCACAAGCAAATCAACAAGACCCATATATAGGCGTGAAACAGAAGAGAAGATTATACAAAGCAAACCAGAACCAGAATGGCAAGTTCAAGGCTTCATATATTCGTCCTGGCTTTCTGTGCAAGCCTTCTTTTTCCAAGCAACTGCAGCCATGGCGATTCCGGGCTTCAGGAGAAACGTGCAGCGTTGTTCATCTTTGGTGATTCACTATTTGATGTTGGAAATAATAACTACATTAATACTACCATTAGCTTTAAGGCAAATAACTGGCCATACGGAGAAACCTTCTTCAAGTACCCCACCGGTAGAGCTTCCGATGGCCGTCTAATCCCTGATTTCATTGGTAAGATGTTGTAAACAATACTAGAAGTTTTATATATGTTCTTCAACACTAGTGATCATGCACATCTCTGATTAAAGAAAGTTTTCCATTAATGATGCAGCTGAGTATGCAAAGTTGCCATTCATACCACCATATTTACAACCTGGCTTCAACAACTACACTTATGGGGTGAACTTTGCATCTGCTGGGGGTGGTGCTCTATCTGAAACTCATCAAGGATTTGTATGTGATCCGCCTTATATATCAGAATTTTGATTTTAGGTTTGGAAAAGCATGTTGCATTGTCCATATACGGGGCTGTACAAGGTGTGAAACCAAAGTTGAGGGCACCCTTTGGAAGCCATGACTTGCTGACTTGGTCAATCTCTTCTGAGGAAGGAATTATTGTCGCAATTTAAATTCTACATGAAAAACCATACATTCTGTTTGGTGGACTCTGCCCCCAAACAGAAGAGACTTCAAAATGTATACATTTATCTTAAAATATTGTACATGTAATGAAGCAACTTCATGTATACATTGTATATTCTCTCTCTCTTTATTAGCATAACTATAATTTCTTGTTTTCAGGTGAAAGACCTTAAAACTCAAGTGAGTTATTTCAAGAACGTCGAGAAGCAGTTGAGGCACAAACTAGGTGATGCCGGAGCCTACACATTTCTATCAGAAGCTGTTTACTTGATTAGCATTGGAAGCAATGATTATTATACCCCAGTCCTAACAAATTCAAGTTTGTTTGCGTCCCACTCACATGAAGAATATGTTGGCATGGTGGTTGGCAACCTGACAGATGTGATCAAAGTAAATACATTTCTGTCTGCTTTCTCAAGAATATACAACACGCATGACATGTTTCGATACTATTCTTCTTCTTTCTAAATTTCGGATGAGTTACTTTATACACATTATTTCAGGAAATATACAAGAAAGGAGGAAGGAAATTCGGGTTTGCAAACGGGGTTCCTCTCGGTTGTATACCTTCCATGAGAATACTTAAACCAGAAAACATAGGCGACTGCGCGGAGGAAGTTACTGCCCTGGTGAAACTACACAGCAGAGTAGTTGCTAAAGCCCTCCTAAAGCTGAAGAGCCAACTGCATGGATTCAGATATTCAAATGCAAACTTCTACACTCCCTTAACTGATACAATTAATAACCCATCAAAATATGGTATAGACAGAGCACCTTCTCCTTTAGTTTAAGCTTCTGTTATTTGTTTTAATGTTCCTTTTGTTATTGTCGTTATGTTGTAAAGGTTTCAAGGAAGGAAAGATGGCATGCTGTGGTTCTGGTCCATACAGAGGAATTATGAGCTGTGGTGGGAAGAATGGTTCAGAGTTTCAGTTATGTGACAATGTTACTGAATATGTCTTTTTTGACTCTGCCCACCCAACAGAGAGGGTTTACCAGAAAATATCCAAGTTATGGTGGAGTGGAAGTCCCAATGTGACTAAGACGAGCAATAATCTAAAGGAGCTGTTTGAAGTTTAGTTTCATAAGCAATTCTGCATTTTGCAGACAATTTCTTTTTCAAAATAAATTAAAGTTCGATACATCATCTTTGCAATTAAGTATTTGCAACTTAATATACGTACTTGATGCTTTATGTCATATAAATCTTGGCACCAAAATAAATGAAGAAAAAGTTGTACTAAATCCTGTAAGTCAGAACTAACTGCCTATACTTTAGTGGGCAAATAGACATCAAGCAACTGATGAAGGGGTCTTTTCATATTCTATTTTCAGGTGATTTTTATAATGTTCCATACAGGTCAAGATCATCATGAATGGGGGAATTTGGAAACTTTAGGGGCGTGTTTGATGGGGATGACTAGACTAGACTAACAAAATGCCTAGATTTCATGTGCATTCAAGGCATAATATGGATATGTTGCCTAACTTGGAGGAAAAATGGGGACTATCTATAAGAGGTTGATGACTAAAACTTATCCCCCCTAATCTCTTTGAAAATGGTAGGATCGCGAGGGATAAGTTTTAGTTATCAACCTCTTATGATAGTCTTCATTCATCCTCCGAGTTAGACAACAATATCCATATTATGCCTTGATTGCCTACATGAAATGTAGCCACTTTACTATTCTAGGCTAGTCTAATCTTTCCCCACAAACGAGGCCTAAAATACCAAAACTATTGCCTACACTAGCCAAAACTAACAATACCAACAACACTAGCCTTTGTGAAGAATTACAACTCAATTAATGTATGTTTGGAAACCAAGAAAAAGAGAGAAAACCAAGTGAAGCAGGTTTCAATTTCTTGCTTCTATTAACCTAAACAAAGACGTACATCAGATTCGGTTATATTGACTACAGGTTAAGCACAACTAGCTTTACAGATCTCAATCTCTAGCCATGAACTAACTCTGGTTTAGTTAGTTGAATTACATTGACTTTGACTTCTAGAAGCATTGGCTGCTTTTCAACGAGAAGATTCTTTGAAGGAAGGCTGCTGATGAAACTGTAGCTGAAATTGCAAATTTTCCATTTATTGACTTTTAGTTCCCAAACTTTGCTGCAGCTATTTTTTTAATAATTGGATTATGAATGGTCAACTTAGCAAAAATTTTGTGTATGTGATTGAAGCTAATAATATCTGAAAACGTCTTATCCAAGTTGATAATAAAGACAAAAATTTCTAACCGTATCATGCTAAGCATCAACCTACTCTCATTTGTGTCATATTTTTTTTTTCTTAGTTCACTTTCCTTGTCTTTTCTTTATGTTATCTGGACCAGGAAGTGATTTCCTTATTAAATTGAATTGAAACAGAGAAAAAGACGATATAATGCAAAGTTATACAGAACATACTGGAATGGCATCTTTCAGGTTTCAAATCTATATCTTGGCTTTCTGTGCAGGCCTTGTTATTCAAAGCAGCTGCCATGGCCATTCTGGGCTTCAGAAAAAACATGTAGCCCTGTTCATCTTTGGTGATTCACTCTATGATCCTGGAAATAATAACTACATAAATACCACAAAAGATTTCCAGGCAAATTGGTTGCCATATGGTGAAACATTCTTCAGGTACCCAACTGGTAGATTTTCTGATGGGCGTTTAATCCCAGATTTCATTGGTAAGAACCATCTTGTGAGTAATATTGTTTCTTTCAGTCATTTCTTCAAACACCTTTGCTGCTAACTGACAGCAACTGATAATACAAACACATGATACAACTAACTATTAAATTTACATTCATGTTTCAGCTGAGTATGCCAAGTTGCCAATTATACCAGCATTTTTACAACCTGGGTTGAAAGACTATACTTATGGGGTGAACTTTGCTTCTGGTGGAGCTGGTGCTCTAGTTGAAAGCCATCAAGGATTTGTATATGCTCTGGCTTATTATATGTTTTCCCTTGTTATGACTTCAAGTCACAGTTGCAGCATCTGAATATGTATTTTCGGTAATTCGTGTGCTTTTCATTAGCATGATTTGATTATGCGATCTGTTGTTTTCAGGTGATAGACCTTAAAACTCAACGAAGTCAATTCAAGAAGGTGGAGAAGCAGTTGAGGCAGAAACTAGGTGAAGCAGAAGCCTACACATTGCTGTCCAAAGCTGTCTACTTAATCAGCATTGGAGGCAATGACTATTCTATCCCATTAGCCACCAATACCAGCCATGAAGAATATGTTGGCTGGGTTATTGGCAACCTGACAAGTTGGATCGAAGTAATCTTATCTTCTTTTTCACACATACATACCACGCGAAAATTTTTAATTTGAGTTTCTTCTTTCTTCTATAACTTGTTACAATTTGTGTACAATTTTGTGTCTTCTGATTATGAATCCGGAAAGATCTTTTGGAGGAGTGATTTGATATACATTTTGTCAGGATGTATACAAGAAAGGAGGCAGGAAATTTGGATTTTCAAGCTTGGCCCCTCTTGCTTCTGTGCCAAGCATGAGAGTGATTCAACCAGGAAACACAGGCCCTTCAGGGGAAGAAGTTACAGCACTTGTGAAACTACACAATAGACTGCTTTCCAAAGTCCTCACAAAGCTGAAGAAAGAGCTCCAAGGATTCAAATACTCAAAGCTTAATCTCTACACTTACGCTAAAGAAAGA